AGAATCACTGTGTGAAATATCTTTGAAGTGTCTTTTTTTTTTTTTTTGCCTGTGCTATCTAGGCAGCCTAAATATGATTTCAATTGTAATCTCTATCACCACTATGTCCTGAATTCTCTGTCATGGGGAGCCTGCCCAGTACACAGAGTTTTGCTGACATTAGGGAGAAGTCTATATGGAGAAATATATATATAAAATTTTAAATCAATCCCAGGTGCATTTACAAGAATTTCTGTGGACATTAGTCCACATAATAAAATTCACAAACCATTAAAATCTCAGGCAATATTATGTTGAATGTGGCAACCCCAAAAGCTAAGTCATTGAAACAAACAGCTGTGAAGCACTACAGTTTGTATAAGTTTCTAATTTTAACTCATGTTTGCAAAACTTAAGATTATTCCAAAATTGTCTGGGTTTGTGGAAGATCTGCATTAATATCCCATACATGTCTTCTTTTGCCATTTGCCTTAATATTGAGTATATTGTTTACCTTACACAAAAAATAAAGCCAGATGCCTTATGTGTGATTTTGGACTAGAAAATGCCATTTTACATAAAGATCGGTAACACTGTGAATTTCATGCAAATCTTTGTGATTAAGTCACTTTGAGATACTAAAGATGAAGTTGCACTGTGTCTCAGTGTCTTCTCGCACCACCTCACCTTCCACCCACCTGTGCTACAAAGAGAGGAAAATACTAATTGAGAGAATGTGGCTTTGACTAATGTCCATTGTAATGGTGGGGAAGAATCAAAACTAGATTTCTATTTCAGTTTGCTAAATTTTTTTATCTGTGCACAAATTTAAATAAAATTTTATGTTTTTAAAGCTCTAAAATCTGTACTTTCGTCTCATTTCAGTCCACTTTATCCTTCAAACCTTTGGTCTTTTACTGACACGTTAACCAGGCACTAGATACACTTCTGAAATGAAGAAATACAGATGGGTCCCAATTATTCCCCTCCATTGCAGAGGCAGGGAATCCCAGAGCCAGTCCTACATTAGAAAGTTACTCAATGAAATAATAAAAAAACACACCAGAATCCTAGGTGAGACATGCACATGCCTGGCAGGTTACAATTTTATGTCAGTGTGTGTAATGTGCTAACAAGTGAAAGACACATCGGAAGTAATCCTAGTTTAATGAGTCATACTGCTGCTGTTAACATTGCTTCATCTGTTGGCCTAGTGGCAAGAAGCTGCACTGCAATCCTAAAGGCACTGGGGTCTCACCCACCAGCTGCTCCATAGGAGAAAGATGGGCTATCTCCTCCTATGCATTTAACTGCCTCTGAAAACTTGCTGGAGGATTAGCTATGACTCACTTCTGACTCAGTGGTACCTAGCAACAGTAAGCCGAGTTTGGATATGACAAATTATTGTTTGAGATTAATGACAAAAATTACTATTTGTCAGAATTAAACTCTAGTTTTGTTACTGTTTAAGTTTCAACCTTTTGGTTCTTCACATGACATCCCTACTGCTGAGCTCAGTGTTCAGATCATAAATGCAGAATAATAGAGGACTAGTGCAAACTTGATTTCTTTTCTATGCTGCCTGATGGAAAAGTGTAGAATCAGGAAACATTTTTGTCACGAATCTGATATTGCACAAATAATTTATTTTAAAGGAACTGATAGAAGGCTGATTTTTGCAAGGTACAGTTTAAAAACATCCAACTTTTTCAAACTGTCGCATCACTCCATCAACTCTGATACTCCGCTATTCTCTGTCCTCAGCTCTCTCACGTCTGTCTGTGTCTTTGGGTTCTGTAACTGACTAACATGGCTCAGATGGTTGAAGCTGGCATATTCCAAATATGTATCTGTTTGCTTCACAATGGGACTGCAAGCAGTGGCAGCTTGAAAGATGGTTGTTCCAGGCCAGTACATGTGGAGCAGGGGCTGGTGAATTGTGGGCAGGTACCTGCAGGCTGTGATTCTTAGAGCAGCTCAGTCAGGTTAGATCCAGTGTCCAGAAGGACAGAAGATTACCCTTCCAAAGTACTCCCCTATATAGGATCTCAAGACTATATACTATACCCCCAACATTAGTTCAATCAGCATAATGTTCTCCCAAGTTATATAATTTACAAAGTCATTGCTCTTATGTTCTGCATAGTATTCCATTGTGTGGATGTACCATAATTTCTCAATCCATTCATTTGTAGTTGCACATCTAGGCTGTTTTCATGTTCTTGCAATGATGAATAATGCTGCTATGAACATTGGTATACGAGTCTCCATTTGTGCCTCAGTTCTCATTTTCTTGGGGTATATTCCAAGGAGTGGCATAGCTGGGTCATATGTAATTTCTGTGTTCAACTTTTTGAGGAAACGCCAAACTGCCTTTAGAGCGGTTGTACTACTTCACAATCCCACCAAAGATGTACAAGAGTTGCTATTTTGCCACATCATTTCCGATATTTATTATTTGCTGTCCTGTTAATCTTTGCCACTGCTACAGGGATGAGATACCTCATTGAGGTTTTGATTGGCATCTCTCTTATTGCCAGTGATTTTGAGCACCTCTCTTCAACAAATGATGGTGGCAAAAGTGAGCTACTGCCTACAGAAAGCTGAAACAGGATCCACATCTCACACCATACACAAAAATCCAACATAGATCAATGGAATAGAATTGAGAGCCCAGAAATCAACCCATCTACATACGGTCAACTGATTTTTGACAAGGAGATGAAATCAGTTAAGTGGGGAAACGACAGCCTTTTTAACAAATGGTGCTTGCAAAATTGGAAAAATACCTGCAGAAGACTCAACCAAGATCCACACCTCACTCCATATACAAAAACCAACTCAAGGTGGATCATGGATCTAGGACTAAAACCAAGGACTATAAACTTCATTAAAGAAAAGCTTGGAAGAACTCTAGTACTCCTAGTCCAGAACATAAACAGTCTCCCAAGTATCCTGAAAAATCTACAACAAGGAGAAGATAAAATAGATGAATGGGACCTTCTAAGAATCAAACCCCTATGCACATCCAAAAACTTCTCCAACAGGGTAAAAAGGGAAGCCACAGACTGGGAAAAAGTGTTTGGTAATGACATGACATGTCAGATAAGGGACTTATATCTAGAATTTATAAAATACTTGAGCACCACAACAAGATAAAGGTAAATAATCCAGTTGAAAAATGGGCACAGGATATGAATAGACACTTCACCAAAGAAGACATTCAGATGGCCAACAAGCACATGAAGAAATGTTCAAAATCCCTAGCTCTAAGATGCAAATCAAAACAACTATGAGATATCATCTCACCCTAGTCAGAATAGCAAAATTTAACAGAACAGCAAGCAAAAAATGCTGGCGAGGTTGTGGAGAAACTGGAACCCTTATTCACTGTGGGTGGGAATGTAAAATGGTGCAACCACTGTGGAAGGCGGTATGGCGCTTTCTCAAAAAGTTGCAAATAGAGATACCATTTGACCTAGCAATTCCACTACTGGGAATATACCCCAAAGAGACCATAACTGACATCCAAGCAGATATATGCACACCCATGTTTATCACAGCTCTGTTCACAATAGCAAGGAGCTGGAAACAACCCAGGTGCCCATCAACAAACGAATGGGTAGAGAAGCTTTGGTATATTCACACAATGGAATACTATGCTGCATTGAAAAACAAGGAACTCATTCAATATTATTCAAAATGGGTGAGCCTGGAAGACATTATGCTGAGTGAAATATCTCAGTTGCAAAAGGACAAATATTGCATGGTGCCACTGCTGTAAAATGGGACTGATATCAGGGTGGGGGGAAGACTGAGAAAAACTGGATAAATTGTGTATACTGCACTGAAACAGATGAGGGACTGAATAATTTAAAAGCGATGTGTGATAGGGTATTATGGTTATCACAAGAGTCCACAATTAAGGTTGCATAGTGGGATATATTTGGGGCGGTGGGAGGGATGCGGGGGGATTGTGTTCCAGGGAGAGAGTCTTTCTTTTACTTTAGAAAGAGAGGAGTGAACTGTGGGGGGCAGGGGAGAGGGCTGGGCGGGGAGAGAAGTGCAGCAATGGATGAATGGAAATCCAAATTCTCTGTAAATGTTCATTAAAATTATTTAAAAAAAATAAATCAACTAAACGTGCATCAGATACCAGGGAATAAAGCCCCAAACCATAAAGTTCACCATAGACAAACTAGGATCAAGTTTAGTAAGCTAGTCTATGGTATAAAGAGACTGCCAAATACCACCAGAAAGGCTCAATCTGGAGAGGATAAAATTGATGAATGAGACCTAAAGATTAAATCCCTGTGCACAATGTTTTTTTAACAGAGCTTTAGTTTCCTTGGCTCGACAGTCAACACTCGTGGCACCAGCAGCCAGCAAATTAAAAGATGTATTGCAATGGCAAAGTCTGCTGTTAGGGACCTCTCCAAAGTACTGAAGAGCATTCGTGTCACTCTGGACACTAAGGTGCATCTGGTACAGGCCATGGTCTTTGCAATCACTTGCTGTGCATCAGAGTTG